AGGAGTTTAGGCTTATCCACCAGATTTAGACTGAATGGACTGGTCCTTAGTGACCTTGAGCTGAATTAAACACAAAACAAAACAAAACAAAAACAAAACCCAAAAACTGAGCTTTCAAGACCTTACAGATGGTTCTAGAAACACATGTCTACCAGAAGCAAACTGGAAGCTTTTCAAGGGCACCAGCTTGACCCTTTCTCCAAGAGTACCAAAGCTGCCACGTCCTGGGGCAAAACCAAATGGAACCAAACCACAGAGGCAGCATTCTTCCTAGTTCAGGCTTCATTTTCCTCTGAGTTCTCTCTCAATGTATCTGTCCTTGCTTTGCTAGTGTAAACTATACCCACCAGCTTCTCTCAGCTGCCTCCTTTCCATGATGCCTCTACCAAAATTCTCCCAAAGAATGAGATTTCTGGAAATACTTTTTTAACAAATATTTTTTATCAACTGTTTGAGAATTTTATTCAATGTATTTTGAATGTTTCTGGGAACTATTCATCAGGTTACAACAGCTGACACTAAATTGTTCAGTTGATGAACTCACCTAACAGGCTTTTTAACCCCAGTGACATCACAGAATCTGAGATTTGTAGATATAAAAAAAATTCTGATACGAGAGAAATTTTTATTTTAGCTGATTTGGCAAAATTAATTATTTAAAAATGCAGCATTAGAGGATGGAGATGTAGTCCCTGCCTATCAAGCACAATGTTCTAGGTTTGTTCCTCCACACTTCAAACAATAACAACAACAGTAACAACAAATCAAACAAATAAATAAGAAAAACAGCAAAGATAATTTCCAGGAAAGACTGTAGGCTAGAAGCTGTTTCCATGTGAATCAGCTAAGAGTCAGAATAATAACACAAAAGCAAATAATTCTATCCCAAAGAGAGGAAGACCAACAGAATCCTACAAAATATAAAAATCAGGTAAAAAAAGCGAAGGCTAGAGCTCTAACCCTGTGGCTCCTTTCCTGGGGGAGGGGATGCTTAAGACTCCATCAAGAGGTAAGCCAGATAACTCCTGACTGCTGGGAGACGGAGAAATAGCCTCTCCCAGGGATGAGCCCCCTTACTGGCTGTACAACGTAGTGCCCTGAAACCATACAAACAAGCAATAAAAGCAGGTTCCCAGAGGAACCCATATGGTGTAACAGTTGTTTTCCTATTGGATGATTCATGCCAGTGAGGGAGACTGACCAATGCAGATGTACAGTTATCTTTGACCCTTTAGTCCCAGAAGTGAAATTCTGTTGATCACGTAAGATCAGTCATGTATGAGTGATGATGCTTTAGTCAGCCCAACACAGGAACAAATATATAAAATGAAGTCTCCCCAAGGCTAGGACTAATGAGGCTGAACAATCCTATGGCCAGTGAGGTAGACTTCATTGTGCTGGGGGCAATGTATCACTCATGATTTCATGACTATACTGGTCTGAGAAGTCTACTACAATGCCAGTCAGGAAAAAGCAAATGACTTTTACTGGGCTAGACAACTATAATAATGTTTACTACTAGTTCTGAGAGCACTTCCAGGTATAAAAATGTGTATCATGAAACGGCATAATGTGCCATGCTGGCAGCAACTACATATGGTCTTTCTTTACTGTGTCTCCTCACTGCATCAGGGGGCAGTGTTATGGCCGACCTACATCATCTAGGGTGAGATAAGAGTTCTCTATATATTCACAATGACAAAATCACCTACCACACTTCTAAGAACAAACACTGCTGTTAAACTACCAAGACTGGGTACAGGGATACACATACACATGAATGTCAAGAAGGTAGGCCAACAAAGACCTTCTTAGAGGTACTCTCACATGGAAGGCCATCCATCATTATCTCTTTACTTAGCTCCAAACTTATTACCTTTAGAAGAGTGGAGGGGACTTAAAGAAACACAGTTCACTTGATGTTGGTATATATGTAACTGCTGAAAGAGGAAAGCTTCAATTTGAACGATAGCTTTACAACTTTTAAAAATGAATAGAGCATTTTTAAATATTATGTAACAGTATGTGCAGGCTGAAAGCATAACCAGGAGAAAGAATGAATGAAGGAGAAAGGAAGACGCAGCCATTGGTAGAAGCGAGTGTTTGATGCTGATGCAGATATCAGGATAGTGATGCATCCCCTTATTCTTACTGTACCAGTCCTAATGATCCCCTCTTTTTTTCTCCTCAGACTACCAGATTACCTTTCTGTCCTCTAGTTTTAGTAGCAAGAGGTGTTAGATAGCTACAGTCACAGTCTTGGGATGACAATTGAATCTGTGTAGTTTGCACTGAAATACGGCCACATTGTTAAGTTTCTACAAGAATATTCGACATTAAAATTTAAAACTATGACTTTGAGAATGAAAAAAATGACTGAGACTTGGAATATTCCATAAGCAGCTATTCTTGTTTTAAAGGTAATAGATCTCATGTGTCTGCTGCATGCCATCAAAAACAAGCATAATCAAAGTGTTTAATGTATTTCAAGATCATGGCAGGGTCCATTTGAAGAAGTGACAGATGACAGAGGAAATGCATAATGTGAATAATAATAGCATTTAAAGTCTTCTTGAATTCAGTGCTGTGCTGAAGTTATAAGATCTGGATCAAACACGCTCTCCTTCAAAGGCCTAAGTGTCAAAGCTTTGGTCACCAGTCTATGGAGGCAGCAGAACTTTGAGTGTGTGGAGCCAAGTGGCAGGAAACTAGATCACTGGGAATGTGCTGTTGCTGAAGACATGAAACCCCTGCACTATGCCTCTGTCTCATGTCCCAGATGACAAGCAGTGAACAGCTCTCTTGCTGATGCTAACACGATATACCATGATACCACCAGCCCAAAGCAGCATGACCAAGTGGACAATGGATGGAATACCTTGAAACTATGAGTCCCCTTTACTCCCTCCCCCACCAAAAAAAAACCATCCTCAATTTAGTTATTCTCAGGCATTTTGTCACAGTGAGAAAAAGGAGACTAAACAACTTGCTTCTTAATGGATGGAGAAGGAATTATTTGGAGATGGTTTAACAAGCTATTTAGTAATGACAAAAACAGAGACCAGACTGACCGATTATTTAAAAAAAAATTGGTAAATCAGAATAGTCTGTTTTACGACATTAGGATATCCTTTTAGAGATAAGGAGGCCTGCTGCTATTTGTTACATTCCTGCCTAGTTGCACTGGAGTATCATGGGCAGCGTATCCAGTCTTGGCTTTTCTACATGTCTACTTTGCCTCTGCTTAATGTTGATTAAAATGTTGGCTCCTTTAGTGTAGAAATAAATTCTGTTTGGGAAACAAAGTAACAGCACCATTCTTATTCTAATTGCATTTTCACCCCAAAGCAGAGCCATCTGAAAGGTACATTAACATAATTTGTGGATCTTATTACCAGTATGAAGCTAACAACAGCAAATGAGTCAAGTTAAGCACGGGGCAGTCTAAATATTCAGCAAAGGTGACCACATACACAGAATGTGCTAGGCCTAACCATGAATGCTGCATGGAAAACTTATTTTATATCCCCCTAACCCTTAGTTTTAGAAATGCCTTCTCTCCACAGCTGCTCCATTAATCACTCTAATGATTCATGGGGAAATCCATGCTCTTTGGGATATGATTCTTATGATTTCATATTCAAACAGTCTTAACTGTTCTAAGACCCAGGATTGGGGCTGGTCAGATAGATCACATTAAAGATACTTGATTGGCAATCCTGGGACATCAAATGTGATCCTCAGAGCCTATGTAAATGTGAAAGGAAAGCACCAACTCTCCAAAGGTGTCCTCCCGAGAGCACAGCACCATGCACTGCCGTCGGGCACTCACAGGTATATCGCTGGGGATGTCTTTCTGTATGCTGTGAATGTGTGTTGCTCTGATTTGCCAGTAACCAGGCAGGAAGTATAGTATAGGCGGGATAAGCAGATAGGAGAATTCTGGGAACAGGAAGGCTGAGTCAGGAGTTGCCAGCCAGACACAGAGGAAGTAAGATGTGAAGGCAGAACTGAGAAAAGGCACCAAGTCATGTGGCTAAACATAAATAAGAATTATGGTTCAATTTAAGTGTAAGAGCAAGTCAATAGTTAGCTTGAGCTAATGGCTGAGCAGTTTTAATTAATATAAGCCTCTGTGTGTTTATATGGGTCTGAGTGGCTGCAGGACTGGTGGGTGAGAGAGATTTGTTCTGACCATGGGCCAGATGGGACACAGGAAAACCATCAGCTACAGTATATAATAATGGCTGCCTGTAAATACTCAGTGTTAAAACTCAGTTTCAGAAAAGCTATCAGAGTGTCTTCCCGTAAAGCACCAGCTCGCCATATTATTTGGGGATCTTCATTTCAGGGAAGAGACAGAACACATTATTATTATTATTATTATTATTATTATTATTATTATTATTATTATTAATTTTTGGTTTTTTGAGACAAATTTTCTCTGTGTAGCCCTGGCTGTCCTAGAACATGTTCTGCCGACCATACTGGCCTTGACCTCACAAGATACCCCTGCCTCTGTCTCCCAAGTGCTGGGATTAAAGGCCTCTGCCACCACCGCCCAGCAGGAAGGCACTATTACTTCAAGCTCATTACTTGACAACAAACAGAGGCAACTTCATGAACTGGGGGATCCTCCTTGACCCCACCTCCTTCAATTATGCTATTTGTTTTTGTCCTGCTTGCAGCTATAGCCATTTAAATTAAAATGTGAAGCAAAACCTCCCTTTGCTATTACTCCAAAGACACTGCTCTGAGGAAGAAACTTCCAGCTAATCCCATCAGGCTGGTCCCCAAATCCCAAATGGAATCACTTTGGAGGCATTTAAAATATGTGGTACAGAACAAATGACAATAATTTTCAGTATAATAATTCACTGAGGAATTAATATTCCACCAGAATATTCCATATTGACTGTTTTACCACACAAAGCTACTAACTTAAGATTTTGAATGTATTTCTTCTTAAGAGATGCTTTTATTGAAAATCAATAGCACACCTGGAAGTCTCCAGTGGATCTCTCCTCTCAAAGCTGGGGGAACCCTGTAGAAGAGGAGGAAGAAAGGATGTAGGAGTCAGAGGGAATGGAGGACACCAGGAGAACACTGCCCACTAAATCAAATAAACAGGGCACCTATGGGCTCACAGAGACTGAATCAGCAATCACAGGGCCTACATGGGTCTGCAGCAAGTCCTTTACATATATGTTATGGCTTTTTGCCTGGTATTTTTGTGGGACTCCTAACAGTGGGAGTGGGTGTGTCTCTGACTCTTTTGCTGGCTCTTTGAACCCTTTTCCTCCTATTGGGTTGTTTTGTCCAGCCCTTAATATGAGGGCTTTTGCCTTGTCTTACTTATCTTGTTATCTTGTTTTATCCTGATTGGTTGTTGTCTCTTGGAGGCTTGCTCTTTTCTAAAGATGGGGGGCAGAAATGGATCTGGGGGAGAGGGAGCACTTGGGAGGAGTGGAGGGAGAGGAAACTGTGCTTGGGATGCATTGTATGAGAGAAGAATCTATTTTCAGAAAGTAAAGAGCACTTTAAAACTTATATGAGAGAGGGAGGATTAATGATTTTTCTTTTTTAATGAAAGAAGTATCTTTTAGATTATTTACTAAATTGGAAAACTCAAGACACCAAACTCTCTGCCTACACCTTCCCAAATTAGGGCTTCCGAAAGCTCTGACAGAAATTTCATGCATATTTCCATCAGAATAAATTTTAATTCAGTAATCAGAAGCTTTTCATAAGCTCAGTTTTCAAAAGTTCCCAGAACCCTTTTCAATAGAACGACAGCTATGTGCTCTGTGTGGGCGCATCTCTGTTGCTGTGCGCAGATGTTGACATGCACCTTACACGGTCTGCAAGGTGAACTGTTCTTGCTCACCACAGCTTTTTCTTGTTTTTTTTTCCCTTCACTCTTTGAGCAACAATTTTCATAGGGGAATTTTCCATTCCCTGTGGATGGCTTTCTGAGTCTAAGACACAGGAATTCACAGGCAGCCTTTTCTCTTGTCCACTGATTCAAAATGTCATTCTTGTTTAAATCATGTAGAGTGTGGTTCAAAGTCTCCAGAGGAATTCTACCCTCCCTCCTTCCTTCCATTCCTTCCTTTTTTTTTTTTTATTGGCAACTTCTCCAAGCTTCTTCAACATTAGAATCATTTGGGAAGATTTGCAAACAATTCAATCTCAGAACTAAGCCCAGGCCAATATCTAGAAATCATGGTTTTACTGTCCGGACAGGGGGCCTAGGGACTACTGTGAAACCCTGATTGGATACCTCTTCTTAAGAAATTTACAACAGACTTTCCATGGAGATCTTAGTTTTTATAATGTTATATAATTTCCCATATATGAATTGGCAATTATTAGGACAACTTTAGAGGGCACATCATCTTTATAATGAATTTGAGAATTATTGTTATGAATGGAAGAATTCTCCAGATCATAGAGACTTAACTTAATCAATGGCCAGCTATTAATGTTTAAGCAAACCTTTCTAGTAAACATTATGTATGTTTATATCATGAAGAAAATACAGTAATATTTCCTCTGTATCATTGGGGGACTGATTTTAGGACTACCATGGGTTCTAAAATCCATGGATACTCAACTACTTTTATAGAATGGAATATAACCTGTGCACGCCCTCCTGTGCACATTAAATAATCTCTACATCACTTGTAGTATCTAAAACAATATGAGTGCACTATAAACAACTGTTGTATTGGTTAGAGAATATTGATAAGGTGGAATGTCAGCACATGTTTATTTGGTACACTAACTTCAGTTTGTGGTTGGTTATGGATGCAAAGGGCTAACTATATATTAAGCGTAATTTAACCTTGGTGTTTCCTTCATATAATCAGTGTCAATGTCTCTGACTACATTACCGTTTCTATGTTAGGCACATTCACTAAATGGTGTCAAAGTTCTCAAGGTTTTTGGAGGTAATGTCCTGACTCCATGATTAATTCTTAGTGCCTTACATGACTTCATCCACTAACTTTCCTTTGCTTTTGCCCTTCCTGCCTCTACCACCATGATGTCAGTATTGATTATGCTGAGATGACTTAAAAAAACCTGGGAAGGACTTGGAGATTGAAGAAACAGGTAATTATGCATATTAAATTAAGCACCATCAATGATGCATATAGTTCTTCAGGTTCTCTGTGAAAACAGATATCTTCACTATAGGATAAAGAACACAGATATTGTCAATTTCTCCAGTGGAGTTCTTCAGTCATTTCTTCCTTTTCTTCATGAATGTATTAAGGACAATTTAGGCTGGCAGAATTTTATTGCTAGGTAAGTAGGGTATTCATATATTGAAAACCTATACTACTTAGAAAATCAGTTGGAATAAGAGAATGGCTAGAGTGTCCACGTACTGAGGAGACGCTTATGTGCTGTCCTCCATGAATATACACTCATCCTCAGTGAGCCTCTTCCAATGACAGGGAGGCCAGGAGCCTGCAGTGCACAATTCCAATGCATGATCCAAATATGAGCAGCAGCTAGAAGTGAGCCAACAGGGACTCGGTGGGCTCTAGAGACGGCACCCCATACAAGGCAGGACTTCACAGTGTGTCCACCTAGAGGTGCCGGGGTGGTGACAAAAGTAATACCAGATGAAACTGTGGTATGAAGAGCTTGTTTACCCAGGAATGTCGTGGCATTATGCTATACGTTATAATGCTTCATTGGGAACATACATCAAAGTAGAATGACTAGCTTTTAGCAGAGAATACCCACAAGGTAACATATTTTCATCTTTCTCTAGCTGCTGAACAGTGAGGAAATGAACAGTCTAGAGTTAGAAGGTAAGTCAGAGACCACCAAGGCAAAGAAACGGTGTTCCTTCTTGATTTTCATTTGGGAGCTCATGAGATGTATAGAACGTATTTCAATTTTATGATAGCAGATCAATAAATAATAACACTATATCATTAATATGGTGTTAATGGTAATAAATGGTATTGATAATATTGTTATACAAAAATATATATTCATGCCATTTTAATGGCATAATTATTTACCTACTTAGAGTGAGTAAAACTGTTTCTGAAGATCTCTTACCTGTAAACTGCCACAAGAGAAGCCCATTCATTATATTTAGAAGAATATGGATTCAAAAATCCATAAGGAGGCTATGGAGAAGGTTCAGTCAATAAATTGCCTGCCTTGAAAGCAAAAGGGCCTGAGTTCGATTCCAAGTAGACACTAAATATCTAATTGTGGTTTTAATTTGCATTTCTCTGATAACTAATGATATTGACTGTCTTATCTTGGGTTTATAGGCCACTTGTCAACTTGCTTGGGAGAAATAACTTCTCTAATTTCTGTGTTTTATTACTGAATTTTAAGTTTTTCTTTTTTATATTCTAGATGCAAACCATTAACAAGATATACACTTTTCAAAATTCTTTTATATTTTGTGATTTGATTTTACACCTAACTAATGGTGTCCATGGAGGTACAAATTTTCTATTTTTATTAAAATTTAATTAAATGTTGTTTGAAAAGAGTTACTGTTTTAGTGTTTGGGGCCATATGCAAAAATCCTTTGCAAAGTTTAGTATCATAGCTTTAACATGATGATCTCTTATTATAGTTTCAGTTGTTATACTTTTTAAAATTCTTTTTTTTTAAATTCCCTTTTACTAAAAATAGATTTCCTTCTCATACAATATAACCTGATTACAGTTTCCCCCACCTCTACTCCTCCCAGTTCCTCCCCACTCCCCCTCCCCTCTGGACCTACTCCCTTCTGTCTCTCATTACAAAAGAACAGGCTTCTAAGAGATGACAGACAACTAAACATCCTATATAAACAAGGGATGGCTTCGACTTCATCCAGTTTGTTGATGTTTAACTGCTCATATTCCTGCCACACGATGTTTCTATAAATCAACCTTTCTAATTTCAGCAGTTTGAGATTCCTTCTTTTTCTTGATAAGGACAAGGTTTGGCCCTTTTTCTGACTTTTGCTATCAACCATATTTTTTTTTTTCGAGACAGGGTTTCTCTGTGTAGCTTTGCGCCTTTCCTGGAACTCACTTGGTAGCCCAGGCTGGCCTTGAACTCACAGAGATCCACCTGCCTCTGCCTCCTGAGTGCTGGGATTAAAGGCGTGCGCCACCACCGCCTGGCGATCAACCATATTTTTGAGTTACAAATTTGTTAATCTTTTTTTGTATGTCAACAATTCATTTGAAAAAAATCTTTATCCAGTTATTTTCTTCCTTTTAGATTTAGTTAATTTTCCCCAACCATCATTACCTTAGGGCAGGGGAAGAAGCTGTTGATTTCACATTTTCTTCTTGTTAAACATAGGCCTTTATAGCCGTTCATTCCATCTAAGTGATAGTTCATCTGCATTTTATGTTTCTCTGTGTCCTCTTCACTTTTATCCCATTCAGTATATTTTCTGATTTCCCTTTGACTTATTTATTAACCCATTAAATATTTACAGTATCTGGTATAATTTCCATGTATTGTAAATCACCCAGTGTTACTCCACATGGGGAGCAAATAACACTTGTCTGCATCATTTCTCTTTAAAGCTACAGGGGTTTGCTTTGTAGCCAAGGACACAGTTGATTCTAGAAGAGTCCTATTACCTGTCCCCATGGACAGTCATCCCTGGGAAACGCTCAACCACCATTGAGTATTTGAACACAGCGCTCCATGGTTAATGGGTTTAAATGATGTTTACTTGATCATAAGAAGAATTAAATTAACAAAATAACTTTGTTAGTAATATATAACTAGACAATGCAATATCTAGAAAATATTGTAGGTTCTTGATTGCTCCTCCTCCAAGACCAAAACCTTCTGATCACTTAAGACCAACAAAATTGTATGATGAAACTAAATAATGTCTTGAAATTTAATACAGAAATCTTGCAACGACTTGCCCCAACTATAAAATCTAATTTTAAAAACTGGTAAATTAATCTCGTAATACACTATTACCAATCTCTATGTGCTAGACTTTAATGTTTATAAATGTGAGTTAATACAGATAGCATTAAAACA